AGCTGCCCAGAGTGGCTGGGGAAGCCCAGTCAGATGGGCAGGGTATAAATATATTATTATTATTATTATTATTATTATTATTATTATTATTTCAGTTTCCAACTTTTCTTCACTGATTTTCTTCCTAAGATTACAGCAGTAAAAAAGCTCTGATTTATGTGCTTATTTATTGCACTTATTTCCCCACCCTAAGGATTGACAATAGTTCCAAGTTTTGGAGGGCCTCCAAACACCCTCCATGGGCCGCTCTCTCTCACTTCATCTAGCAGGTCCAGGGGGCTCTTATCAGAGGGACCCCTGCAGATTCCCTACCATGACAGCTCCTGATACCGACTCTGCTAACAAGGGCTCCAGGTGGCTTCATCGTTCTATTCTCTCCCTATTTCTCAGCACCAAAATCCATTTTGAATCTGAATAAAAATACACAAAGAACAGAAACTGGCTCCTCCGACGTGTTTGCACAGTGCTGACTTTGCCACTCTCACTTCCAGTAAGCAGCAGTTGTTTCTGCTGATGTGTATTAGTGAAAATGACATAAAAAAATGCATTATATTAGATGAAACCACATGCAAAAAAAATGTGTATATTAGGGAAATTTTCCATTAAAATGCGGGCAGATTTTCACAAGGGTTTTTTTTTATAAAAAAAGAACAAACTGATGTGGAAATGTAGAGAATTGAACCTAGGACTGGGGAGATGGGGAACCAAAGCTCACAGATTCCTTCATCCCTGCACTACACCTGTACTCAATAAGAGCTGTTAAGACTTCATTGAAAAGCAAATTTATGCCTGGCTAATGATCTCTGCAGATTTATTTGCGACTACCTCTCCCCATAAATAATTTAGTTGCAAAATTGTGAGAGAAAATGGCAGCCATAAAACCAGGAGACTAGGCTTCAGATCTGCTGAAAGCAAACACTCTTCAGTCTAAGCTGGTGCTATACCCATCATGCCATGCACCTCCTTTGTCTGGGCTGGGAGGTACTGCTGAGAGACCCTGTGCAAAAACTCAGGCTTTCCAAGCTGATCTGCTGAAAGAAGAAAAAAGTTACTCCACAGTGCTTGGATTTAAGTGAGTTTGCTCTAATTAACCTCCAATTAACTAAATCAATGTAAATCCAGGTTCTGTGGTGCGAATGGTTTCTTTAACAGGCTGCTAAAAATGTCACTAATGCTAAACATCAACTCAATTACTACGCATACTACCTCAACTCAATCACAGCGAGACTGTTTTGATTTGTGGCGGGGCTCAGCCCTGATCAATATTTTCAGTGCCTGGGCTCACCCTGAAAGCCCAAAAAGTAGATGGAGATGAAAGTGCTCCTGAGAAGCTACAGAGTGGATTTCCCTCATTCCTAATGACAAAAAAAAAAAATCCAACGTTCCTCAGAATTAGGAGACAGGCATTGCAGATTGGAAGATTGTGTTCCCAGACAGACATCCTGACTCTCTTCTCTCCTCTAAAATTAAGCCCAGGCATAACAAACTGATGCTTATTGGTTCCCACCAGTAATTCTGAAAGCCATAGAATTCTGACCTGATCAAAGTTTTAAAAAGCCTTTAGTATCATAAAATCATAGAATTGTAGAGTTGGAAGAGGGACCCCAAGAGTCATCTAGTCCAGCCCCCCTGCAATCCAGGAATCTCAGCTAAAGCATCCTTTGAAGGTGACCCAGAAACTACAACTAATCCAGAATGCGGCAGCTAGACTGGCAACTGGGAGAGGCCACCAAGACAACATAACACTGGTCTTGAAAGACCTACATTGGCTCCCAGTACGTTTCCGAGCACAATTCAAAGTGTTGGTGCTGACCTTTAAAGCCCTAAACGGCCTCGGTCCAGTATATCTGAAGGAGCGTCTCTACCCACCTCATTCTACCCAGATGCTGAGGTCCAACGCTGAGGGCCTTCTGGCAGTTCCCTCACTGCGAGAAGCCAAGTTACAGGGAACCAGGCAGAGGGCCTTCTCGGTAGTGGTGCCCGCCCTGTAGAACACCCTCCCACCAAATGTCGAAAAAACAACAACAACTACCAGACTTTTAGAAGACATCTGAAGGCAGTCCTGTTTATGGAAGCTTTTAATGTTTGATGCATTACTGTATTTTAATATTTTGTTGGAAGCCCCCCAGAGTGGCTGGAGAGTCCCAGCCAGATGGGCAGAGTATAAATAATAAATATTATTATTATTATTATTATTATTATTATTATTATTATTATCATTATCATTATCATTATCATTATTATCATTATTACAGATGGCCATCCAACCTCTGCTTAAACACCTATAATGAAGGAGAGTCCACCACTTCCCAAGAAAGCCAAACAGTTCTTCCAGAAAGTACTGGTAGGGTACATGCTTTCAGCACCATTTCATACTGAACTTCCTAATATTTCCCTTCTCGTGCTTCAGAATGTTTCCTCTGACTCCTCAGCACCCTGAGAGCTAACAACTAAGATGTGGCAATAATCATGGAAGTTGCACCATCCCAACAGTGGTTGTTGCACTGCTGCTTAATTGGATGGGTCTAGGGTTGGGCAGCACTGCAGGGAGGTGCACAGGTGCACAAGCAGGACCACAGTCTGCTGCTCCCATAGGTGACCTTCCTGCCAGCCCACATTATCCCCATCCAGGTAAGCAGGAACCTCACGACATGTGCTGCTCTTGAGTGTTGGGCTGAAAGAGTCAGGTTCGTATCTCCACTCAGCCTGAAGCTCACTTGAGCCCACTCAGCCTGAGGCTAACTTGCAGTCTCATCTACCTCATGGGGTTGTTGATAATAAATAGGATGTAGGGGAAAGAACCATGTTATCTTGAGCTCATCAATCATCATCATCATCTATATAGGGAGGTTAAGCACTGTTTATTACAGCAGAACCTGCTTTTATATAAGGGTGCTCATAATTGGAATAAACCTGTGTCTACAAAATAGACAAAGAGGGTTTGTCTGAAGGGCTGGCCTGCTGCTTAAAGGAGGTAAGTTTCTATTTCATCTGAAGTGCTTTGTGTCTGCACATCTCACTTTATTCTTCACACATTCCCACACAAGCTTCTTTAGACCCTGCCTCCCTTTCAGTCTAATGCTATAGGTAAAAAAGATGTTCATAAGTAAGTGAAGCTCTTCCCCTCAAAGGGAATTTCTTGTGTTCTGAGAAGGCCCTTGCTCCCCCGCCCATGAATCCCCATTAGCTGAGTGCATTTGGATACTTTTCAATTTTTAATTTCATTTTCAAATGCATGCAGCTAGAAGCGGAATGTTGCCTGTCACTTGAACAATCCATTTCCTGCAAACCGGAGTGCAAAATGCATCTTGTTAGGCCTATAATTTCTTCTAATTGCATCTGTGTCAAAAGGGGATGGGAGCCTGCTCTCCCCCATTTATTTGGGCCAAATACATTCTTGGCAGCAGCGCTTGGCAAGCCCACATAAATCAACAACTCAGCGGCTTGACCTGCCCTTATTCTTCCTCCAGAAGAGGAATAATCTTCAGCATCTCCTCTTTCAACTGGTTCCTTTCCTTTTCATCCTTAATCTCCTAAACACATTTGTTGTAGTAGTGTGGGGGGTGAGTGGGACGAGAGCTCTATAGCATGAGAGAGGGAAAAAGAGCAGAGAGGTAGACAAAATCGCCTAACATATTAACAGAGATGCCAGGAAAATGGTATCAAAATGGTCAAAAGACCATTTTGTACACAACTAGAACTGAACCTAATCTCTCTCCGCACCCCCACCCCCAATTCCTCAAGTTAAGAAATGAAGGCTGCAGAAAGAGTCCAACAACTAGGTACAATTAGTGTTGCCATTTAGTTACTTATTTTACTCTCCCTGTGCCATCACTGATATGGTAAAAAAAAAAAGGAGAGAGAAATATTCTCTGGCGTGGAGATAACATGATGGGAAAGGATTTCCTGCTTGATTTCTGCATGCACATAAAGTCTCTTTGGAAGGCAAGGCCAGTAAAAAAAACCAAAAAAAAAAACATTGGCAGCACTTATAATTCACAATGCAGATGTCTGCCATTTCTCCATGCACACTAGAGTTCTATCAGTTTTAATTCCAGCAGCTCTCCCTCCTGAATCCACGGGGCTACTTTTTAAACACTCCAAGTTTAAGGGATTGGGATGAAAATTGCTGAAAGAGAAACTGAGCAAAATCTGAAGTGTAACAGCCCACAACCACTTGGACCCCGCACGTATCTCCCTACTGGATTGCAGCCATTGGCTTGTCAGATGTTCCTGCTAAGCTGAGTGCAGTCTGTGGCTCATAAACATTCATGGTGTGCAAACAGAGCAAATTCAGATCTACCGCTGATATCAAGAGTTGACCCTCCTCTCCAAGAAAAGAAGGGGGCAAATACTTATTCTGTACATAATTCTACAGGGGTGGGGAAGAGACATAGGTCATCCAGTAAGCTCTAGTAGTTCCTTTTTGAGAGTAACACACAGTTAAAAGGAGGAAACGATGAAAGCTTTTATGTGGCACACAGACATATATACACTCTCTCCTGGTGTAAACCGGCAAGACATCACGTCTTCCTTTCAAGACCATTGACATCTGCCTGTCCCAGCTTCTCTCTCCAAATAAATGACATTAAAGGTGAACTCAAGAAGGCATGCAGCTTAGAAAATCACCACCCACCATAAAACTCTGCCCAACCATATGAGAATTTTCATCGTTGGTGGTGCCAACCCACAACCATACTGCACATGTTTCCTTAGCTGTGCGTGTGGCACTGCAAGCATATGGCATATGTCAGGAGGTTAACACATGATGAATGCCTTGTTAATCCTCCTATCACAGGGAGGATATTGTTATAGTGTAATTAGGAATGCTTTGGTGAAATAGGCAAATTAGGCTGTACTATAGTGATGGATTGTGGGTCATCGTCATTTTTGTGTGTGTGATCTAACAAATTATTACCATTATTATTTTATTTCTTTATCATGTAGGATCTCATTCTGTAAATTGCAATAAGGTGATTTTCCTTGCCCTAACCCCGCTCCTATAGACGATACTTTCGTAACAGTTCAGATTGCCAAGGGTGCTTCCTTTCTGGAAACCTGTCTGGGATTTTGATCTTGAGGAAATCCTGGATGCATTTTTCTAACTCTTCCTCAATCGAGAGCTTTTCTTTCGCCGATTTTTTTTTACTAGAGTTGGATTCCCTAGAGCCGGAAGTTAGAGTTCGGAGCAGGTCGCTTTTCCTCCGGATTTCGGACTGCTGAAGTAGCTGCACCGGGCCTTTCTTGACTGGCCTATCCAGAGTCTGTATATTGGACTGGCGGGTGACCGGGCCACAGATGACAGTCTCTTGTGGGGAGCTGGCTTCTGACTGGCTGTCGCAGCTCGAGGTGGAGAGTTCATTGCAGGAGGTTCCACTTTCTCCTTCTTTCTCGCCTTTGCCATTTTTACAGCAGCAGTCACAGTGTGATGAAGACCATCTTGAAGGCTCTCCTGGAAATAGAAACAGAGAACGTGGTAAGGACCTGTAGACCTGGCAAGATTCAGAGAGAGACATACAATGCAGCTTTCATTCATATGCTTAAAGAAAAAGGCTTATATGTCATCGCCACATAGTGAATATATTGGCAGGATAAATGGAGCACACAAATGAGAACTGAGGCTCTTCTGGGAAGAAAAATTACTGGTCTTTGAGGTTTGTAATCAGCCAGCTGGAAAGCCTCTAGCATTAAACACACACACAACGCAAACCAATGTTTATGACTGAAATCCCCTGACCAGTTACATGCATTTAGGTTCTACTGCAATCAATAGGATTTAAGTGTGCGTAAGCGGGTGCAGCACCGAAGACTAAATATGTCTTAATTGGTTTCTTGATTTGTCATTTAAAAATGCTTAGTTGAAGATGTGCCCAAAGTAATAATCTATGGCTAGAAGGAAAAACTAGAACAGTTTTTTTAAAGAAAAATAATAAAGGAAAAATAAAGGAAAAAAATCGTTTGCCTTCTGAATGAAATACTGAGCTAATGATGGATTTAAAATGTCATCTGTCTTTGGAGAGAACATAATCATCACTCCCAACCTGTGGGGACCATAACCATCATTCAAATCAAGCCAAATATAATTTAGTTTGCTGAGTAGCAGCTTCTTAACAGAGACACATCATCTGCAAGAGAAACTGGGGCACAGTTTCCAGAGATGCAAATGAGGGGACGGGATGCCTCTTTTGCCTTTCTGTATTGAAAAATGAAGCCAGTTTCTAAACTTCTGCCACACGCTTGTGTGATTAAAATAAACAGAATTCAGAGTGGGTTATGCAAACAGGAACAGGCTTTAGACATTAGGAGCAGGAAATAGGTTTACCCACTTCCCCATTCTCTGGGACATCTTTTTCCTTTCTTCTATATTTATGGAGTGCAGTAAGGGCAGAACCTGACTGTCATCCCTTGTATCAAGGGGCCCCATACATGATATCAGAGACTTCATAAGCAACACAGAGACACCACCCATAATGATAGACCTTCACTGTTATTTTCTAAAGTAAGTAATAGCCCAATCCTATGAATCTCTACTCAGAGGCAAGTCCCACTAATTTCAATGGGAATTATTCATATAAGACTGCAGACCAGCCCTTCCCAGGTGGGATTTAAAAACATAACCATCTCCAAGGGGATATACAGTAATGATCAACAGATAATCAAACAAAAATCCCTTATATTATTTTTTGGGTGTCCTGCTCTGATTTCAATGCAAGATCTCATTCAGCTGCTGAGTGAGAGGTGGGTTTTCTGAGCTGCAGTGTCAAAGGGGATTTGTACTTCATTGTAGGACTGCCTAGTGGCATCAGGAGGACTTATGCTTGGCGTATGCTTCTTGTGTCATCTGAAAATCACAAACTGACAAAGACTATTTGGAACAGGTGTTCTGGAGAGAACCATGCTGGCACCAAGAATGGCAATTTGGAAAAGCCTTAGTGAAGAAAATTGAAATTTCCCTTTCTCTCTGAACAGAAGCTTTTCATTGCCAATGGGTGCTAATGTTCTGAAACATTTGTATAGATAAGAGTTGTTGGCCTCTTGACTTAAGACTGTTATGCCTTTTTCTAAGGGTTTCTGTGCATATTTGTGCATTTTAACTTATTTTTTAGCAAACCACTTAAGCACCTAGATCACAGGTCACTAATGTGGTGGCCTGCAGATGTCATTGGACTACAAGTTAAATCACCCCTCTCCATTGGCCATGCTGGCTGGGCAGATGGGAGCTGGAGTCCAGCAACTGGGGCACATGCGAGTTGAAAGGCACCACACGGGCTACTGCTGTCTTTGATCTTCATCTTCTCCATATATAGAATATTTACATGGACAAGGGAAGACAAGAGGGGCGATGAACTGCACCACTAGTCCTGTCCCCAATAACATGCACCCTCCTGGTCCCACCCTCTGTCCTTTGTGAAGTCCGGAAAGGGGTGTTTGACTTGTGCACATGTGTAAGTACTTCATATGTTTACACACAGTTAAGCATCCTTTTTCAGACCTTTGGGGTCTATGTGCGATAGATGTGGGTGAGGCAGTGTAATCCCACTCCTCCCGTCTCCATCCATGCATTGTACGTAGAAAGAAGGTGTGAGGACAGTTTGAACTGAAGGTGTCTCATCTCATTGAGACCATTTAAAGCAGTTAGATGCAAAGCCTTGCTTCCTTAGGAACAAAAACCTCCTTCTTGTGCCAATCTGAAGAAATCCTTCAAAATATCCAGGGCATTTTTCCACTCTCAAGACTTCATTGCACAGCCTATCTACAGCTGTTAGGTACATAGTTAAATACAATCAAGCGGCTGATCCTTTCCCCCCCCCTCATGAAAAAGCCAACTGCAGTGGAGCGAAACATGACTTTGTGAGCTCCTAGAGTGCTCATGCATTTTTGAAATATGTGCACTGCATGCATATATCTATCTATCTATCTATCTATCTATCTATCTATCTATCTATCTATATAAAATCCTCCCACTGCCTTCATTCCCATCTTTCTATGTCTGCAACACCTGTTAACAAAATGCCCGTGATTTACAAAAGCAGCGGAAAACAGCTTCTCTCCTCACTTCCTACTTGCTCTTCTCTGTTCATGACGAAGGAGCCCCACAGTCTGTGTACTGTGTGGCTAATTTAATTTATAGACCTGCTTTGAGAGTCCTTCTGTGTCTAGCTTGGGGGGGGAAGTCAATAATAGCTAAATTGAATCTTTTTTTAAAAAAATAAAAAAATCTCCCATCTCTGTAAAAGGCATTGCACACAGAGGCTTAGTTAAAAACAGATCATATGAACTTTTGAAAAATACATCTATGAGCCTTATCGATTCACAAGCCTTTAGTTTGTAGCTGACATTTTAACTCAACGGTAATTTCTCCCCACTGGAGTGACCTATTGTTTCATTGTGGAAAACAGAGCAGAGTTAGAACAATATTCAGAAATCATAGGATGATTTATTCCAAAATTTAACTGCCAACTTTCAACAGGCGAAAAAAAGAAGGTAATTCAGCAGGAGAATAACAGATAGAGATGGATGTCTTTGGGCTTTTGTCAGATATAGAACAGATATAAATCTTCTCTTGTTTTTCTCTCAGACAACAGTGCCACATCAAAAGCAAAGCAGGCATGAATGAACTTTCTGAGGTTCACTGCTAATCCATCTGTTTTCCAGCTAAGAATGCAACGCTATAGAATTCCACAGAATAAGCTCACCCAGTTTCTTTTCAGACCAGTATATATATTCAGGAGAATCAATGGTTAAAGTTTCATTGGACTGCGCCATTTTGGAATATGTATGAAGTGTTGCATGACTGAAAGCTTCACCACATCAGAAACATTCCACATTTTGTAGCAGAAGTAATAACTTCTCAGTGTGAGAGCTAGGCTGAAGTAGTCTCCACAATATGCTGTTTTTCTGCAGATAGGTCCCGCCCACTACCCAGCCCATAGGGGAAGCTTTCAAACATGCCATCCTGCCACTTTTAGTATGAAATGCTATAGTCCAGTAAAATCTTTACCACATGATTCTCCTGAATGTATAAACTGGCCTTGCTGCACTGGGCCAGAACAGAAGGAAAATTCTAGTCCCTTGATGTTCCTGCTCTTCTGCAAGTGGATTGTTCCTTAATATAATACACAGTGACTTTATAAACACAATAGTGACTCTAATCCAGAAATCTAATCCAGAAGCATGCACAGAAATGGGGCGAGCCCATTGTGGGCTGTATGGCAGGAGACGCTACACAAGTGTACATCATCATGGTTTCTTTCACCGTTGAAGCAACATGTGCAACACTCCTTTGGATCACAGCCACCTATGCTCATAACAATAATTCCTAAGAGATCCTGGTCATGTGACCTTAGAAACCATCAAATGAAACACTATTCATATTTGCATATGTATTTTGCCTTGAAGCACCAGAAATCTACCACAAACATTTGGACAGAGCCATATATTTTGATCAACAGACACAAAGATGGTATCCTACATGTTTTAACAAATAGATCTGATGTAAACCACTTTATCGCAAATGGTCCTCAAGCCAGGGTTGCCATATGTCCTCTTTTTCCATAGCATGTCCTCTTTTTCATGGGTAGAGTCGTCATAGCAATCTATAGTTAAAAGTAGAAGTCAGCAAATGTGTCCTCTTTTTTGCTCTTCAAAATATGGCAACCCTATGCATTTTTTATGAACTGAAGCCAAGCATTTCAGGATAAAATGGTTTATTATTGTTTATACAAAAGCACTTACATAAGAAAATATGTAATTATGATGCATATATTAACTGATGGACAAGTTTTATGGTGAGATCTGTTGACTGTATCAACAGATTGACTGACTGACTGACTTTATTTATTCTGTTAAAGCACAAGCCATTCTAAGGGAAGGGAATGCCACACAAAGCATACTTGCATAAGCTGTAAAACTATTTTGTAGCCTTGATTATGCCTATTTTCACGATTCAGTTCTTCAATCTGCATAATCGAGATAAATAATTCCCCCCCCCTCAGTTTAATCCATTTGACTGAATTTAAAGCCTATGCGCTCACAACTCTAGCACACCCCATAACAATTTACTTCCTTTATGCCATTAGATCGCCCATTTGATGGGGTAAACCTGACATCAAATGTTATTAAGCCATGTTTACATTTAGTTCTTCTCACTGGCCATCGTAAGATTGGTCACAAATAGTCACATGATTATAGTTCTCTCTGTTGGATGGCTAAAACCCTTTAAGTGCAAGGCAAACAACCCAACCTGATGAAGAATTGTGGGGGTGGGTTTTTTGTGTGTGTGGGGGGGGTGCTTTTTCACTTCATGTGTTTGTAAATGCATGAAACTTTCAAAATCCATAAATAATTTAATGAGGGAGCTGCACACTTCAGTGCCTATGTAGGCCAAGTAAGTGATGTGTGCAGAATCAGAGTCTAAACCAAAAATCACAGGAAATGGCTTCATACCCACAT